AAGATTATAAACGTATGTACCAAAGTTTACTCATTCAACCAACATGCTGTCCAGATCAGTTTTATGGAGACACCAGTGGAAGATATACAGTACAGTAGCTGGCTGTGATTGTTGCAGCTGTCCAATCTTCAGGTGGCTGGCTCTATGACAGGGGTCCTAAGGTGCAGAGAGAGCTCTTTTCATGCAGTAGCTTGGTGCTACGGATGTTGGAAGGGCAAGCCATGGAATGGCCAGGGGAGACAATAAAGACCCTATGACTAGCAGTAAAGGGGGGCAATTTGGAGGTTAGCCCAGGCTCAGGGGGTCAGACGATGTTGGTATAGAACCTTTTCCCTCAGGCCACGGACGTGGGGCGACCTGCTGCTAGGCAGGTCTCAGGACATCCGTACCCTAAAAGCTGAGCCAGGAGCAGAGCACACAGGAAGTAAATAGGCTACACAACAAGACACACCAGAAAGACATGAATAATCACAGGGAACTAAGAACAGGACAGAAGAAGAGTGCCCTCTAGGTGTACAGGGCATGACACTTGGTACTGATGAAGCCTCCTCAGGGAGGTTAACATTGAGTTGAACTTTGGTTTTTAGAAACCGTCCAAGCACAGCATCTAACTCTGGTCTGGCAGTAAGAGAGACTGCTAGAGAGAACTGAGTATGTCCCTGCTGTAACATTATTATTGAATATGCTCTGTTGACAAGAAGTTTCATCTGAATTTATTTTGTTGATCAAGTTAAATAAACATTGGTTCATGAGACACACAAATTCTGTTCATGACTCTCTCTCAGTCCAGTATCTTGAACTAAAGTCCTGACCATGATGGTGTCAGTAAAGTCACCAGAGAATTGTGAGAAAAGGTGGTCGGGGTAGGCAGGCTTGGTCGAGTTTCCGGAGAGTCTGGTCAAGAGTAAACAAATCCAAAAGACGCTAGGCAGAGGCGAAGTCGAAGCTGGAGACAGAGCTGGGTTGGGTATCCAGAACTCAGGTCAGAAAGGTATCCAAATCCAATAGCTGCTAGACAGAAACGAAGACAAAGCCAAAGACAAAACAGGGTCAGAATCCAGAAATCAGGTCAGTAAGGTACTCACACAAGAGAAAGGCTTAAGTCGATCTCAACATTGAGCGAGGACTGAGAGGAGTGAGAGGGTATAAATAGGGAAAAAGGACGTGAGCAGTGCTAATAGCTTAAGTAGGGCGCAGGTGTTGCTGAGAGGTGCACGTGGGAATACAGTTCATGACAAATGGTTGCAGTCACAAGGTTGGTGATGTTGTCAATTTTCCAGGGCTTGATGCAGAAGAAGAAAGGATCAGAATAAAGAAAAGTAGCTGTGCAGTACATTTTAAACCTGGAAATCACTGCTGATGATTGCTTATGACATCATCTGGTATAGTGTGAATCCTGCAGGTTCCTCACTAGTTGGTCATGTTTTGGATTACTAACTGTAACCTCTGATCCATATAAAACAAAATAGTTGGTCTCAGTGAAGCAGACTTAGACATACCAATTCATCATCAGGGAGGTTGAGAATGGACCCACTTTTATGATGTCCTGTGTTTCAGACATGGGTATGCTGCTTATCAGAGAGGCTCCTTTCAGCTACATTCCTACTGCTTTACACAGAAGCCTAAGCTGCTAGGGTTATTGTCTGGTCAAGCAACATAAAGAGTATTAGAAACACTTAAATTTTAGTGTAATTATATGCCTTGCCACTACAGCATCCTGCAAGAAAAGGCAAACTATGTACTGTGACACAGCAGAGAAATCTGGAGTGATGAAGTCTGCTCAGACTACCGAAGGCAACATGTAATCACTCCAGAAAAGAAATGATGGTGCACACTTAGCAAGTGATAGTTTGAATCAGAGGCACCTGCAATTGATCTCTCTCACTATAAAAGATAACAGAACAGGTAGAGACTGTCTAACTATGAGGGAACCAAAATGGTAAAGTTTGGGGTGAAACAAACTAACATCTATTTCAAGATTTTTGGCAATATGGCTTGGAGAACTACAGTACAGATTGTTGCAGTGTCCAATTTTGTTGAAAACTTACATTTACTTCCAGCCTTGAGCCAAACTGATTCTGCCGGTGACTTATAAAGAATCATTTAGATGAGAACATACCAAAAGATAATATACTGACTTAACTAGACTGGTAAAGTCTCGTGTACACAGAGAGAGAAATTATATCACCCTGACAATTGCTGTGTTCACGAGTCAAACCAATGTTAAGTCTGCACCTCAAGCTAAACAGGAGTTTAAGAGACTAAAGAAACCAATATAGGAAAAGCAAAGTAGCAATAGGCATAGGTCTAAAATATGGAGGGTTAAGGAACATAACATCAGGTTGGTCTGACTAAACCCTATTTTTGTTTCCTTTATACATAAGGTAATATGGCAAATGTACATACAGTAGGTCCTCCATTTGACTGGAACATCTGCTACAGCTACTACTGTTTAAGCCACCATTACTATAAAAATATTTACACACATTTCATACTAACATTAGTCCTGGGTAATTGTTTATCTATATCTGGAGTTTAGACAATGCATATGATATAAGATTGGTTTGCATAGTAAAACTCATTAATCTCTGACGAGATTGTACAGTCTGGTTCTAGTTGCTTTAGATGTGTCTTCCAATTTTGTAATCTGTATGCTATAGTTAAAATAATAAACTAATTTCTGTTTACTATATACCGTGTTATTCTGCACACATTAAATTACATGTATTCATCCCATCTTCTAGAAAGCTTGTGTTACCTTACATAATACATTCATTGCTGTAGTTCATAGTTTTTATAAGTGGAATTTCTTTGTAAACATAGAAATGAAAACTGATTTTATTAACAGCAGTTCTCACCCGGACGAGTGGAATGAAAATCGATGGATGATATAATTGTTCCCTTTTCCTTAAAACTCGTATGTTGGAAAAGAAAAGTGCCTATAATAAAATTAATCTTGAAATCATGTTTGCAGCATTTAAGCATCTCAACCTTCCTGTGCTTCTGGTTTACATTTTGACAGTCATCTTACCACTGCTTAACATTAGTAGCCTACCTACTTAAAATAAAGTTTATTTTAAAGCTTTGTAAATGTTTTGAGTTTTTATAAAACTTTTTAAAGCTTTTAAGTCAATGAATGAGAAGAAACTGAAAATTAAAAATAATTTTACCTTTACATTCATTTTGTAAAAGTATGTATGAGGATATTAATTTACAGATCAAAAAGGACAACTGGATGATGAATAGATGACTTGATAAGAGGTAGGCACGGTGGTACAGCAGTTAGTATTGCTGCCTTCCAGTGTTGGGGCCCTTGGTTCAATTCCTTGGTTGTTCAAGTTTGTATGTTCCCCTCATTTTCTCATGGGCTTCCATTTCTGGGAAACCTGGCCCTGGTGTGAGTGTGTGTGTGCATGTTTATGTCATGTTTATGTACTCATGTTTATGAGTGTGCTGAGGGTATATCCTGACTTGCTCTTGATGCTTGCCAGAAGAGGCTCTGACTCTCCTGTGATCATATATTGTATAAAGCGGTTAGGAAACGGATGCATGGATTTTATATTAAACTATATTTTAAATTCCACCCATCACCAGAAATCCCACAAGAACATGGGGAGAACATACAACATAGAAATCCAAACAGATAGCACCTCAGGAATTGAACCCAGGGCCCGACTGCTGTAAGGCAACAATGCTAATTACTGCACCACCCAGAATTTTTAATTCTGTATTTAATTTTTAATTCAAGGATTCGTTCATGTTTTCAAATACAACTTTATTGTTAACATTTTCTTATACAAAAGATTTACAGAATATATGAAAAAAGCAAAGAATGTGATTACTTAGCACAATACACAGTAGCATTTTTTGGTAAAAACTATTTCTCATTTAAAGATGAAAAGGAACATTTAAAGTGCTGGAGTAGTTTTTCCTCTATTAGTTCTATTTAGCCAGATTTTTCAAAAAATATACTTGGAAATCACTTGCATTACCAAGTTTGTCCATGCACAACAACAAGTGTTTGGTCATATTAAAACAGCAGTCAATACTACAAAATCATTAATTCACTTAATATGGAATTGCCCATAGTAAACAATATAGACTTTGAATTCTGCAGCAGTTATGTATGTCTAAAGAACTTGCTTCACAACTCTATAGTAATAAATAAGGACTTCTTCCTTCCATTTTGTGTCGGCTCACAGTCAAGTTAATCTATGTGAAGATGGTGCAGGAGCTGTACACACCCACATAACATGGATTTACAAGAGATTCACAGAAAAATATATAGGGAGTTCGGAGAGCTGTCACTCCTGTTCCATAATGTTTGCAGAATAAATTCCTGCAATGTACTGTATTGTACACTATAATGAAAGCAAGTTCTTCATTTGACATGCTAGAGTTTACAAATTATAGTAAATCTGAAAAGTTATGGCATTGTTTAGACAAGCACAGCATGCTGTAAAATTTTATTCACCCTGTATTAAAAAAAAGTTTGTGGGACCTCATGCATTCAATATGAGTGTTATAGAATTACTGTAGGATCAAGCTAATTTTCCAAACTTAACCATTTAAAAATAATTATGATCCAAATATAATCAAATAAATCAAATGTTAAAAAAGTTTGTCCTTTGTCAATTTGCCACATGCTATAAATTCTAAAGTGCAAAATGAATTAATCAGCTCAAGTCCAGTCAAACCTTATTCTAGTTTATTTGCATCAGCCATCGAACCAAGTCGCATAGCATCTTCAAACAGGAGAAAAATCATAAAGAAAATTATCTGATTCCATGAACTAGAGGTTAAACTTCCTTTTTTATCTTCTCCAGTAATAAGCTCAGATATCTAGACTCTTTACCGATACTTGCCTTAAATAATAATAATAATAATAATAATAATAATAATAATAATAATAATAATAATAATAATAATTAATAATTGCTTACACTTATATATCGCTTTTCTGGACACTACACTCAAAGCGCTTAACAGGTAATGGGGACTCCCCTCCACCACCACCAATGTGCAGCATCCACCTCGATGAATCCAAAGACATTTAAAAATCTTTTAAATGTCATCCTAACAGCAATGTTTGATTGTGAATTTATTTTTCTTATATTGTTTTCTCATAAGAACTTCATAACCTTAGAAAGACAGTACTTTCTTCTAAAATAAATATTCCCAATTTTCACCACCATCTTCTATCCAGAATGATCCCCCTTTCGTCAGTCTTCAGAAGTTATTCAATCTCATTACAAATGACAGGTCAGAGAAACCTTGGTAGTGTAACTGGGAGCAGTTTCTGAAACAAAATTAAAACAGTCATGTATTAGCATTTTTATCCTTATCAATATGGCATACAGATTCCTTACTCTTTACAAACTTTAAGGCACAGTATATGTGCCATCAAGTTAAATATTAAATAATTAGCATTTTGAACCTCTGAACTAAATGTAAAAATTGTACATATTAATTTTTTACCCAACAAACTATGTAGGAGACCCTGTGTAGCAGCTTGAAAATGATAATTTTATAGTTTAATAAAATTCTTAAAACAACAAAAGAAGTCAAAAATATAAATAAATAGCTTTCTTAATATTTTGATGTCTGCTTGCCTTGCTAAGGAAGTAATAACACTAGCAGAACTAGAGCACTGACAAAACCTCTGAAGGATTCACAAAACACAAGTACAGAAAGCATAATGCAAGTGTTTATTACATTCGAGTTATAGGCTGTCTGGATCAGTTGGGAGATATGTGACGTATGCTTTAAAAAACCAATGATGTGAGCCTCGCTTCCGGCAGACCAATGATAAAGGAGAGTCAAGGGCCAACACTGCACCGCATTTGGATGCCATCAGGAGGATGGAGAGAACTGGATAGGAAGAAAACCTGTTCTCATCATGCTAGGCCATGGGCGCTAAGGGCTAAAAACAAAGAGGCCCAAACAAAATAAAAACATATGCCATCTGCTCACACCTACAGGGTGAGTTACCATCAGTGACCTGGGTGGCTTTTACGGGGACAGCAGAAGGAAGGGTTGTGGAAGGGAAAAACAAAAACAAAGATATGATGGGATATGTAGTGGGTTGGATGTTGAACCTGAAGTGGGGAGAAAGGAAGGGGGGGGGTGAAAGCAAAGGGAATGCAGAGAGAAGAAGAGGATGAGGGTTTGAGTTCAGTTTGTGAAAGATTATTGAAAAGGCTAATAAATAGTGTGTTATGCCATGGCTTGGAGATGAAAAGCTCATGGCCAGATGAGGGTAAAATGGATGCCTACTGTATGTAAGGCACAGTGCAGGGGATGGAAAGGTTGGCTGGCTACAGAGCTAAGCAAAAGGCTGATGCAGATAACTGAGACTTGTGAAGGTGAGAGGTGATGAAGAGAGCCGAGGACTTGCAGACAAAGGTTGACGCAGAAAGTTGAGAACTGAACAGACCCACAGGACTGCCATTGTCCCATTGTGGATTCAGAAAACAGGGCTGGCGGGATCAGGATTCAAGGGAATAGTCACAGACTGCCACAATCTCTGGTTAACTGCCACGGTATCTGGTTATTGCAGACAATGAAATTAGCTTGCTTCATATGCAAAATGCAACTCTTATCAATAAAAAGCAACAATAACACAGCACAAGGCCAGTGGTGAGCGGGGGTTAAATACCTGGATTGGTTGTCTTTACTTTCCTTTGAAATGAATCACAAATATGCAAGGGAAATGACCCAAATCGGCCATATTAATTTTCTTATCCCACTTACTATTCTAAAATCAAGATTTTGGTTATAGGTCTGGTTAGAACCCATAATGCATTGCATGCATTGCAGAACACCTAATGCATTGCAAGCAACATACAATTTAAGACAATACTTGGTAATTTATTATATTTAATTGCTTTGTTGCTGATTTGCTGCCAAAGTACTTATGTATTACATACAACATTTATATTATATAATATTAATATATTAATACTATATTAATAGACTATATCAATAGTGCTGCAAAGACTTACAGTATTTTTTTATTTTGAATTTAATTACCTCATGCTTTGCTGCAAAGTGTTTGCTTACATCATTAAAAATAATGCAACATTTAATGTTATGAGATACAGTATGTTACTATGTCAATTTTTTCTGCTTCGTATTTAATGTCTTTACTTTAATACATATGGAATAATGTGTATTTAGATTTTTTAATTGTAAACAATCTGTTTATGTTATTATTGTGTGTTAGTAATCTAAACTGGCATGATCAATAAACACATTTAAATATGTGGTCTTAGTTATTGATAATTGGACACATTTGTGTGCCCTGATACAAAGTTAAGTCAGTTCCCTATTAAAAATTGATATATAGCCTTTCAGCTTTTAGGGGGAGGTATAAGAGAAAAAATAACTCTATGAGAAACATTGTAAAGTTTGTGACCCCTGCTACCGATGATGACCTTCATACTATCATAAAATATTTTTTTTTTATTAGGAAGGGCTGGAATTCATCCCAAGAGGACCCTTGGACTAAACTTTAGATGCTGAGCAGTTTATAACCATGACAGACGTAACTCTGTAAGGGGTGGGGGGGGGGGGCTCTCCTGTCCCTATGGGATTCAGCACATTGAATATTATGAAGATCCTTACAAAGATCCTAAATAGTAAACAATTGGCTCAAAGACCTTATCTCCCTAAAATTACCCAGTTTTTCTAAGATCTTTCAAAATTATCAGGTAATTACACAGCCAAAATATAAAAGTTATATAGAATAATATGATACATAAACAGAAATTACAGAAATGATTCATGTGAAATTAATGGTTCATGTGAAAGGTTTGTTAGCAGTAAAATTAATTCTTAATACACTGTCCCTTGTTATTCTTTTAATCATTGTCATTGTGCATAAAATATATTATATCTTCTCAAACAATATACACTACTGCTGGGCTAATGAAGATTTCCCTTATTTTTTATTTCTAAGTCTGTAATTGTAATTACAGTAATGGTTTTAGATTCAAGTTTCAATTCTTTTTAAATTTCTTTTATGGAAGGTAATATTGGTAGCTCAGCATTTTGTCACTATTGAAAAAAAACACACATCTGGTGATTTATTACATTTTGTTTGGGATTGTCTCCATTATAGTTCAACAAAGGTAGTAACAAACAGAGGGACAAAAATAAAGTCATTCTGAAAAGTGTATTTTGGTTAATCTGCAAAACAGTATCACAGTGGCTGAATTAAACTTTATATCTGAAACGTTTTCAAAGGTTCTAAAACTGTTTCACACCAGTTTTCTGTCATTACAGACACCAGAAAAAGTCCTAAGAACACAAGAAAGTATGCAGATAAAAGCAGGTCATTTTGATCACCTAGCCCATTTGGATTAATTAAGTGATTTAAGGATCTCATCCAAATGTTTCTACAAATAAGACAAGCTACAAGATTCTACAAATGGCTGACGCAACAGAGGTATCTGGAGCTTGGCTCAGACCACTGAAGGCAGTGTGTAGTCACTTCACAAACAAAAAAAATGTCAACGTACATTTCACAAATAATTAGAGAAGGTGATTTCTCACACTATAAAAGACAAATAAAAGAGACATAAGGTACTCCCAGAGAGTAAGAATGGTGAAAGGTAAATGTTAAAGGGTAAAGGGTAGAGTCTCAGCTGAAACAAAATAACATGTTGTAAGAAAACAATCAAGTCTTTGCTACTTCAAACCAAGATTTAAAATATGCTAATATCTGCTGTGTGCAATTTGTCAAGAAGATTTACTCTTGACCTTAGAAGATCCAAAGAGAATCTCATACAGTAGCTTGTTATATGGTATAAACCTACAACCCTTAGTATATTGAAGTTTGTCCTGTTCTCAGGTTTTAATACCTTCATTTGTGCTTGTTGGTTTGGAAAAAAGTCTATAGGATTGACTATTAATTCCTTTTAAGAAAATGAATAATTGGATCAGGTTTCCTAAAAGCCATCTCTGGTAAAGACTAAAAAGATTTGGTTTGTTTAGTTTGTCTGTAGTGGACATTCATTTCAGCCCAAAACTCATCTCTAAATTCCAGAGCAGCAATTTAATTTACAAATTGTAACTTTCTCTACACAAGGGTATATGATATTGTAAATACGGTTTTACTATAGCATAGTACAATTTTAATATAACTTGCATTTATTTAAATTCTATAATTTTAACTATATATCTCTAAATTAATTTTTATTGCTTCCTACACATACTGTAGCCTGCAAGATGAATAAAAAATGAATTTCTTCTTTGTATTTTTTGTACACTCTTTAAAGTTGGTTTAAAATTACATTTAAGAATTTGTTTTTGCTACCAGAATTTGCTACCATATACTGTATTTGTACCAATCTGCCAGTTGCCAGCTCAGTTCTAAATTCACTCTGAATATTTTTTATGTTTTTGCAGCCTCTATAGTGCCTGATATTTCACCTAGGTGGAATCATTGGCAAATTTGACTAATCTACTATCGATACCAGAATTTTGATTATTGATCTTTGACTTAATGAACTGTAAAAGCAGAGGTTCTAATACAGATCTCCTGTGATACTCTACTAATTACATCACTCTGAGTATTCACTCCTGTGTATAACTATTCTTTGCTTTCTGTCCATTAATAATTTCTCAATTACTTTGAATGCTTATCTCCAGTAAATTGATTACACTTTACTTAATTTATTCAGGGGAATTTTATCAAAAACTTTCTGAAAATCAAAACTTAGCATATCATATACTCTATTTGCGTAGATTACCTTTTTGCTTGTTCAAAGGTGCTAATCCTTTAGGTTAGTTCTAACCATTGTATTCATATTTGATGTAATAGATGTAGGAATTAATATGCAATTAATGGAATTATTTTGTTGCCCTATTTATAGATGTGCATAGCCAACTCAGTTCATTTAAATTTAAACAAGCTTATAAATGATTATTTTCAAAGTCTTAACTTCTGTTAAATTTAAAATGCATTATTATTTACCTAATTCTTTTAAAAATAATTATTTAAAGTTATGTTTCTAATTAAATCTAATAAATCTTTGAGTAGATTTCTGTTTTGAGGCATGAAAATGTCAGCTGAAGACTTAACTGGCAGTACTGATTGATTTGGAGCATAGACGATCTCTACAATGAACCTCAGAACTGAATATTATTCTCTGCCTTGTTCCATTTATTCTTGCTTCAGAGTATCTTGTTCAGAGTTACAGTAGATGAGTAGAATCATGCTGTAATAGATATTGCTCCCTTAGGATGTGACTAGAGATTTTGACCATGCTGAAAACATACACAAAATCATTAGAAATAGCAGCTTGACGAGGGTGACAGCAGAAAAGAAAGTGGAATAGTGATGACAAAATATTGTTAACACTACATAGCATGGACAGAACACAATGTGGATCAGTATAACTACCATAGTGTATCAATATTCTTAATTTCAACAGATCATACAATTCCAAAAATCAATAATAAAAAATGACTGTGATGTTAGGGTGTGTGTGAGGGGTGCTGTCAGTTATGGACATTACAGTTTTACTGTTATATATGCTATATATATGTTATATCTATATATGCATATGCTCTATGAATCTGTTTTTAAGAGAAAGCTGATGACCACACAGCAATAAGATTCTTAGTCAACTAGCTGCGTAGCCTGGTTTCAAAGAATGCTCTCAAATACATGGTTGTAGTCTATTTTTAATTTATTTTGTAAATTCATTTTTTAGAAACCAAATACTTATTCTTCCATGTATAATTCCATTGTAAATGAAATAAAATGTAAAATGGTAGATACAATATTCTCATAGATCATGTTTCTAAATGTTGCCTATGAATCCTATAATTTTCTGCTTCTTTAAAATATTTTACCTCTGTTCTTAAGGGTTTCAACATATGTCTGCATAAACTCTTTCTCCTTCTCCTTCTGACTTCTGTCTTCTTCCTCAGACTCATCTTCTAACTTCCCTTCCACAGAATGAAGAGGGTTATCAAACAGGCTGATGAATCTGAAAGTATTTTAATATAAACAGATAAAGAAAATAATACTTTATGTAAAAGGAGATCCAAAGGTTCCTTTATTTATAGTGTTTCATTTTAATATTTTATAAAAGTATCAGTAATAAAACAGATTTAGCAACACAGAAAATACTCATTCATATTCATGTAAGATTTTTGATAATCACCATGCTCTGAATCACTTACTTGGCAATGAGGTCATGATTAGTACTTAAAATGCAATATTAAGATGAACACAGTTTAAGCACATGCATCTAATCAACCCAGTAAGAGTGTAGAAGTGCTGAGAAGCATAAATGATTTGAAATAAGGTGAATGCTAATGTGTCCATAAGAAATATTTCCACTCAAAGAGCTTCTAGGCACTACTGTTAAATTATATGCCCATGAAGTACTCTTCTACATCTTTATGTAGTAGTTTACTGTACCTCACATTATATTTCAGTAGTCTTTACCACAGGGCACAACAGAGTGGTTAAATAATCTAATGCTATCATACTCCACAAACTAGTCAATTAAAAAAAGCAAGTATAGATACAGTATATTACATTAAATTTAATACTATCTGTTCATTATTAACATATCATCAAGTTGACCAATTTTGTCACATTGGCTAAATATTGCACTTTGCTTATATGTGTTGCAATAGTTAGTATAAGTTGTGATCATGCTATTACATTACAGCTAGCATCATTGTGATTATAATATGGAAAACAAAATAAAGATTTACACAAATAAAAGGCCTTTATATTATGTTTAACTAATAAGTTGGATTCAAAACCTTAGAAAAAATCCTTTCTATATTTATCCTTATAGAAATGATTCTCAAGGAGCTTTAGCTATTGTCTGATACACAAGATTTGACATTTCTAGGGTTTTATCATGGAGTCATACTGGTAATGGTCTTGTAATCCTAGTACAGCAATTACCTTTTCTGGTGGAAGGATTTCTGGTCAGCAATTGATAATTTTCTAAAGGGTAAGACAAGTTTTGTAAAATATGTTTCATCATGAGTGCCTGCACCCAGTAATTGAGAACACGCAATGGACTATTATGGCTTTGCTAAAGTATTGTTTAGTGTAAATTGATATAATAATGTATAGATGTCATAAATGAGAATAAATGAGTTGTCAACCCTAAATAACCCTAAATAAGTAATTTTTTTACAAAATAAAGAAGATTGATAATAATTGTAAGATTGGCGATATAAGTTGTATTCTATCCTTCAAACTGTAAGAATCATCAAATACACTTCTAAAACACTTTGATCTTCCATTTAATCATATTTTACAATGTAATGCAACCAAAAGTAAATCTATGAATATCAGGACTCAATGCTCAAAACTTTGTTTTATTTAAGCTCATACTGAAAAGAAGACCTTTTTTCACTTTACACGGAATTGCTAAATTGAAGTTAATGTTAAGAAGAGTCATGGGCAATGCTGTAACAATATGCAATTGTTTACTTCATTTATACTCTTCAATGAGGGACCTGGAAAGACAGGAAAAAACATTCCTGTTTGCTGTGTTCCTGTTAGTACTAACCTATATACATTTAATACAAAGCTAGGAGTTTGAAATGTTTTATTGGCAGAAAATAAAGAACCTATAGATGTTATTGATCACCTATTACTTTATATGAATTCAGTTGTGAATTGTTTACTGTTGTACTGTATCTCTTAAACATGTATGTTGTGCTATGGTTGTATCTGGACCCCGGTGTCCTGGACAAATTTCCCATTGGCCCTTACCAATCATGGCCTCCTAATAATCCCCATCTATGAATTGGCTCCATTATTCTGGTCTCCTCCCCACTGATAACTGATGTGCGGTGAGCGTTTTGGCGCACTATGGCTCCCGTCGCATCATCCAGGTGGATGCTACACATTGGTGGTGGTGGAGGGGAGTCCCCAATACCTGTAAAGCACTTTGAGTGGAGTGTCCAGAAAAGTGCTATATAATTGTAAGCAATTATTATTATTATTATTATTATTATTATTATCATCATCATCATCATCATCATCATCTTCAATTGTTCCTTCTTATATTTCCTCATATAGGTTAAGTGGATAATTGTATTGTGTAGAGAGTGACTCTCCAAACATATAAAATGTTTAGTATCCTGTAATAATAAAACTACAAATGCATAGTTTAACCCTTCTATATAGTTATAGAAGCTAACTATAATTTATAATGCTTACAGAAATGTTTAATTTTGATATAATGTAAACTGTATATCTTATGCTCAGTCAATGTAATCAGTCTTTTTTACAACTATCAGCTATTTGTTTTTTTGCTATGCTTTATTTGCACTCCAAGCCATGTATCGCAACTAACAGATATAAAATAAAATGTGTTTAGTTTCAGACTTTCTTGAAGGCCACTTTGCCCAAGAGACAAAGAAGAAATTGTTACAAAGCAACAGCAAAAACAAATGTTTATATAACCCTCTGTGGTAGGTAAGGCACTGTAATTATATAACTTTTTAAATAAATTTCATTTTCTGCACATGAACAGTTCCTGCACATGTTTTATCTGACTAATAGTGAGTGGTAGGCTGATTTATGAAGGGATTGGAGTAGCAGCAAACCTGCCTCTAGGGTTTCCAAGATTTGCGGTTAGTTTCACTTGGTGTGTGTTAATTACTGTATATTACTGGTTAAAGGCTGGAAGGTACATTCTCACATGGGTATAATTAGATTGTTTAATATATAAGAAGGGCTTGCATGGGGTTGTAGTGGTTGAATTAGTAGTAGTTAGGGTAGACTGCTGTGATTTTAAGTGGAGAGAAAGGAGGTGGGCTTTGTTTCAGATCATTTTTAAATGTAAGAACTGAGAGTAACTGTCCTTGTGAGTATTTCCTTTCATTCAAATCACTGGAACTGCCTTGGCTCTTGGCAGGTCTGTCATAGTAATGTACAAATGAAAGCACAAAGGCTCCATCCATGTATTGCACATGTCAAACTGTCATTTTAAACTCACAAATCAAAAACTGAACACCAACTAATATAATTAAATTATGCTATATATATATACTGTAAAAGCTATTTCAGTACACTTTAATTATTTCAGCTATAAAATAAACTATAATTGTTATAAGACTCCTCTTTGCATTTTTGCATTGAAACTAGCTTTTTCAGCACCATAAGGTAAAACGTTGGGAACACTAATGCCAGATGAAGAACAGCACACTAAACCCAATGTATGTGACAGGACTGATGTCTTGATTGATTGATATGCAGGGCTGGTTTCTAATAATTTTGCCCTATACCTATGAAACAATTCCCAAGCAATACAAGTCATCTTTTGATTTCAGTGATAACATTCCTCATTCTGGTGTCTTACAGCCTTGAAGATTCTTTACTCAGAGAGTAATGGGGGTCAAGAATAGACTCAGTGGGATCTGTTAAACATGTCAGTAAAACTCTCTTGGTACCATAGGAAGGTATCTTTTATGACACAGGAAGCTACACTGGAAGGATAGAGTTTGAGATTAAAAATGTAACATTATCTAAACTGTAGTTTTTAACATCTTATGTTGGAGTTTTACTTTGCACTAGATTTTCCTTTTCAGAAAAGGGTTTGTATTCCTGGATCAGTAAGATACTACCACAGGAAAAATTCATCATCTGGCATTTGTAACCTTTTTTATGTTCTCAGGAGTACCTTGAACCCCTCAATGGCTAAAGACCAGTGAACAATGGTAGTTCAGACTACATAAGATACTTAAGACATTAGTATAATCACTGAAGTTATAAAGAAGTGGAATGAACTCAAGAAGAACTAAGGCTCTAGTAGAGTGAACACTCTATTGGATCAATATCAGTTTGCATATAAACACAGAAGGGGCACCAGTGATATAATGTGTCATGTTGTTAAACACTTACAAGATCCCAATATGTATGCCCAACTGCTGTTTGTTGATTACAACTCTGCATTTAATACACTGCAGCCCCTTGATTAGCAAGCTGAATCAGATGTCCGTTAATCCCATTATTATCAGATAATATAATTCATTTGTAACAAATAAAAAACAATATGTCAAAGCTATGATTTATCAGTACAGGTGCCACGCAGGGCTTTTGTGAGCTCATCAATTCTATTCACACTTCATATAAATAAATGTACGAGTAGTAGTCAAACAACTACTGTATATTGTTAAATTTTCTGATGATACGGCTTTTAAGTTTAGCTTAATGTACAGTATATAGAATTGACTTTGTCTATCATGTGGCAAACATAACCTGATTTTAAATGTGAAAAAATAAAGAAATGGTGTTTATTTCCAGCTCTTGGTGACCATCCATATGCAGTGATTCACAGGGAACGTATTACATATTATTTACTATTAGTACTTATTAGTTATTACCGTATATCATATATTATTTACTATTAATACTTTTTGTTCATACTGTAGCTCCCTTGACGACCCTCAGCAACCATCCACACCAGGCACTTTCCCTTGCAACAGAGCTTGCTGTATCACCTGTAAGTACATATCTAACACCTAACATTTAACATATCTAACTTATTCAAGGCCCCTCAGGACAATTCTGGATCTTTCAGATGACATCTTGTACCTCCAGACTATATGTCTTGCAGTAAATGCCCAGCCATCTACATTGGGGAAACAGGAAGGAGACTTGGAGACCACTTCAGAGACCATGTTAGTACTGTAAAGATTAAAGGTTTCTCCAAGCCTATTGTTTCATATTTTACCTCTGATGGCCATGATCACACTAATCTCTCCGTCTGTGTTGTCAAAGATGGTTTTCCTAACTCCTACATCAAAAAGACTACAGAAACTAAAATTATCCTGCAGCTAGGATCACACCTTTCCCCTTCTCTCAACAACAGACTAATTTTCTTCTACAGTAAATTCTCTCTATTCATTGTAGGTTTCATTTCACGCCTCTCTTCACCTATCCTGTCTTCACACTACATACTTAGCCACTCTTTCTGTCCCCTGCTCCCACCTCCCGCTCCTCCTTTCTCCCAGCTTTTGTTTTCCTGTGCTACTTTACCTTTGCTAACTGCCCTGTCTTTCTCACATCTGAAGAAGGCTCCATGGTCGAAACATTGTGTTTTCTTCTCTTTTCAGCATGGAATAAATCTATTACTTGTTCCTTTGCAGCCTAATTACACAGCTACTATTGACACTTAGTACTCAGTAATTATAAGTAATTAGGAATACAGTCAACCCACAACTTCAAAATTTACAGTCATCACCAGAAAATAAAAATATTGAAAAACTTATCTGTTATTTTAATGACTTTCTGAAAAAAATCATCAAGCATGCCCACAAGAGCTATTTGTTGAGCCTATATGGTCATTGTATTTACTTTTATTTAATGTTTTTAAACTTATATTCAATACCTTGAATTACCTTTGACAATACTCAAATTTGGTTTTACCCTCTACTCAAAATCCCTAACCATTGCTTAAATTATGAGATGTCAGCATACATAGACTCTGAGCAGTAAGAGTGTTTGGAGATGGACGGAAAATAATGCTCTTCTTTTACCATGTTGGTATCTTACTAGATATGATATAAAAGTGTGTTTTATCAGTCCAATTAAGACACAAAATCACCCATCTTGTCCAAACAAAAATGAAGGTTATAGGATTGAAGCAGCACTCCTCCTTGCAGGCAATGTTTGAACAATCCATGATTAGACAGGCAGAAAGAATTGTATCAGATCCTTTTCATATTGTTAATTCTGAATATCAACTTCTCTCTGGAAAATGTTAGGATTCCTAAAAGTAGATCAAATAGATACAGATATTTATTTGTTCCCTTATCTATTAAGGCAGCTAATCCAAAAAAATGGTAAGGGTAAATGCAATTGGGTCACTATTTAGTATAAACCATTTGTGCTGTAACGAATTATGTATGTGTAATATGTCATTACTTTTTTTAATGAGTTATACATGTGCAATAGAGGTTATGTGTAATGTTTTGTGATGTATTCAGATGTACATAAGCAATGTCCATAAATGTTTTCCCCTAGTGAACAATAAAGTTTATCTTATCTTATGCAGTAAATAGAGCCTTCATCTACAGTATGTACTATGATGTACAGACTACATCAAAACCACCCACCACCTACAAATTATCAAGTTAGATTTTTAAATTGTGTTTACATCAGGTAATATGAAACAGACAGTTCGGAAGGTCACCAACAATTACAGAGTTTATAGTTACAATTGGTGAGTTGTTGAAAATTGTGATTTAAATTTGGCCCATGAGAGAGGATGATTGCTTTTGATCAGCATGTATCTTGCAGATGGGTTCAGTTGATCTATATTCAAACAGAACAATGAAAGATATATTGATATGACACTATTACTCTTGGTAACATGTGGTGTGCTGTCATGTTGGTGTTTGCGTGTTACACATGACAAAACCATTGTAATAGGGAAAAGTGAATTGCTGTATTTGCATTTTGCATTGTAATTTACATGTGGCTCCACACCCACATGCTCCTAGCAGGTGTTATGCTAAATACTGTCATTGTCTCTCACTCATACCTACACAAAAATACATTCTTCTAATTTATTCCTCCTGGTACCTCTCACTTCTGTCTCTGAAATTTTAATTTAGCAAATATTTTTCAGACTGTTTCCTTTTGAAATTGTCTATGTTTAGCAATCCAAAACCAACAAAGAACTGTATGGCATCACTTTCAGAGTTTATTATTGAGAATGGTGTTTGGATATTTTTAGATATTTAAACAACTTATCCTATGGGTGGAAACTTTTTAATTTAGCTTTTTTTAAAATGACACTAAAGAAAATACAGTTATCAAAAGAGACACTATCTACAGTAGCAGAGACAATCTAGCACGTCTACTGGCTGAAGAAACAACCACTTCCCTACAACATGTTTTAGGTTATGGTGGAGACTGGGAAAGGCATTAGAATCTAAAAACAAATCTTGTAAAAACAGGAATATGTGACGATTCATCTTTTCTAATGAGTTAATTTGACAGCCAAATTGGTAACTGAATTATCTTTCCCATACACTGTCCTTCATCCTGTTCATGGCTTCGTAGATCTAAAAAATGGCCTAATGATTTATTAAAAGAGTATATTTTATTATATTTTATTCATGAAGTTATTAAAATATGCCTAGGGACATTCAAAGTAACAATTAGTTATTCAAAGCATACGTCAAGTGTATAGCTTTCAAGTATAATTTTAAATTTTCAAATAACCCTTCTTTTTTAATTTGAACTGATTTTGTTTTCAGTAATCCATTTATCCAATTTCATGACCAAAAAATTAAATCCTGGTGTTTCAGATCATTGTCTGAAGCACTTATTTTTCTTAAATATTGAATAAATGTAAATGAGTACAAAAAGTCAAATTTAAATTGCATTTAACAAATATCAAACATAGATTTCAGAAAACAGGTTTTTTTTTTATTTAACATTATCACAAATACAAACATATTGAAAAGAGTATTGCTTCATGTGCAATTTTAAAAAGCTTACAATCATATCATTTTAAAGGCTAACCTTTAGGGATTTATCCTGGTCGATATTTCCACAAAGGAGAAAAAGAAGACAGAGGTAAGGAATAAAATTAGCACCTGTGCTCCAAAAGCCTACCTCTTACAAAGAATATTAGGAAGAATCATACTGAATATCAAAGGTTTGACTGTTCTATTAATAGAAATATAATATAGTTATCCTTCTTTTTCAAAAAACGTTTTCATTAGTCACTATGTGTGTAGATGTACATGCAAATGTTAACAGACTGGAACACGCCGTCAGAAGTAGCACTCTAATTTTTATATTCAGAAAAAGTGAAGGAACATTATCTGGTATCAACAAGATCCCTGTCCATTTGGGATTCCCAGAACAAACCTTTCCACATTTTGATTCCTTGCTAAATTTGCTGAGAAACTCTATCCATTTTTGTATGTATATGCATGCATAAGGGTCAAGATACAGTATGTTTTTCCACTCAAGCCATTTTGGGGTTGTCCTGGATTTTGTTAGGAAATTACAAAACTGTAGCAAATGATGTGCTGGATTAAAAAACTTTCAGAATTGATCAGTTGGTCTTTTAGTATTTTAGAAATATTACAATTCATTCTAGTATTTCTATGAAAAGAAACAATACAAAACCAAGTAATACTTACTTAATTTTGGGGCTGCAACAGATGGCTGTTGGCATGCTGACCAGATGGTCTCCACTTACAACAATCATAGAGAGTGTTGATATATTACACAGTGAATTGGGCAAGTACGTCATTATGTTCTTCTGGAGGAAAAAGGAATTTAATTCTTGCAACCTAATGATAATAAAATAAAATCACAGTGAGATTTAAAGGTTAAGGTGGGAAAGCCCATTTTTTATTTTAAATATTAAAGACTATTGAAAGTAATACGTAAAATTCAAAACCTTTACTGAATGAATTCACATTTTATCAATATTAACACAATGCCATTCAATAATTAAATGATAATTGTGACATATACTTTATGCAAAGAGAAGGGTTTTGACGTTAAGTGGTGTGCAGTTTATGTTGTCTATATTTGCATTTAATTGTATTTGATGAGAATACTGTTATCGTTATTATTGGTCTGTGGTTTACTTGATTGCATTGTGTATTTGTATGATTACCTTACAGTCCATTAGCCATAAGAAAATAATTCACTTTTTATATTACTCTTAACCCTTTGTCTTTCTGAACTTTTTTCCCATGGGGAGTCATTATTTTTACAGCTTTTCATTCAGGAAAGCATCAGCAAGAAACATGTGTAACGATTTCTCTCTCCATAAATGACAGTTTAATGGGTAGTAAGAGTAGATATGTTCCATATTGGGTATTTTATATAACAGAAAAGACTGATTCTCAATTATGTAGCATTTAGGGAGCAACATTACATTTAGTTTTTATTTCATCTACCATTGTTAAGGAACCGTGAGGCAAAATTCAGCAACCTATCATCAATATGCCACTTATCCTGGAAGCATAGAGCACGGGGCAGGACAAAAAGATTGCTCTCTCTCTCTTGCATGGGCAGTAGTCCATTGAATGCCAAATTAGAAAGGGGCTATTTAGTATAGTCAATCAAACCGCAACATATCTTTGAGGGATAGGAGGGAACCACAGCAAAAATCAGTAGAAATCCATGTAAACAAAGACATTCATATTCTACACAGATAGACAACAAAGGCAACAAAATATGATTCACAAGGTTTACTAACTCCCAATAATTTAAATGTTTTAAAAATGTTTACTGAGTGCTTAGTTTGGCTTAACCCACTTGGCTGAGGGCCTACTCCCTGGCCATATGACAAAATACACTTCCATGCAGAATGAGAAGTTGACCAAGAGGTGTCTATAAAGGTGGAGCTGGGGGATATAGGATGAATGTAAAATACTAATGCAAGGGAAAAAAGGCTTACGTATGGTATGTATAGTTTTATTAGTTAGATAATGACATCAGGAATGATTATAAAGGTGACTGAAGTGAAAGTGAGGTTGGCCGGTGTCATCCCTCCTTAACTGCTGTTGTCTGATTTGGTCGAACCAAATAGAATGTATCTATCAGAGTTGTATCTATTAGTTTGTAAGATTACTTATGATAATAAATGCCATTCAGTTGAGCATTGTTAGAAATATATAATTTCCTCTCAGTCCAGAATGTAAATGTTCTTTAACATTTACTCATCTGGTCATTTCCTGAAATTAAAGTGAGCAGAATAAAAGAACAAGATAACTGTTTTTCACTTAAATCTTCAGTTACCTGTCAATATCTTCTGGTAGCTCTTTCAACAGATTATTGCTGATATCAAACCACTGGAGTCCTGACATCCGGAGAACACAGACAGGTATGGTGTGAAATTTATTGGCCGATAAATCCAAGTATATGAGTTTTTTCAGATTACTGAGCTGAAATGTCATCAATAAGAATAATTATTTACATTGTTAATAACATTTAAACTTGTGGTAGGCTTATGTTCACAGTGAGGGACAAAGGCTGAAATACATTAATGACTTAATATAATTTGTAAAAAGCTCATTTTGAAGGATCAAGAGATTATTTCTATTGTGTAATTCCATTTACCCTTAACAGAGAATAATCACACATTCTGGTGAGTTAGGTTTAGGAAACGTTCTTAAATACTTTAATATTAACAGGAATCTAAGAGTAACTATAATAAAAATGTATAAATGTTGCACAGCCTACAAGTGATATTGGTTTTTATGTTTATGTGGACATTCTGTCAAAATAATTGTGACAGATGCATGTATAACATCTGAAACAATACAAAACAACAATACAAAAATACAAAACCTGTTGTTTGGAACCTATACAGTACATTAAATTACCCCAACATCAGAGTTATTCCCATTTAGATTTAATTTACATATAAACATAAAATTACATTTCACATGATGTACTAACATTTGTAATAGTGGTGCACTTTGTAAAAAGATAAGACAACAGTAAACTTAAATGCATTTCAATTGCAAAAACAATGAATATCTACTGAAAAAATTTTTGCTTCAAAGATGCCTTTAAGTATGTTTTTTTAACATTCTTGTTATTCGTTTAAGGAACACATTAACCATGTGGCAACAGCAGCTGAGATTAATTGACAGATGCTTCCAGTAGCAGTTTCATTCTTCAGCTGACTGGAAGGACATCATGATTTATGGGAGGAAATATTAGCCACATTTAGTTTTACCTTTTGCTGACACTTACTGATAAGCCACGATAGCTTTTATATTTAGTGACACAATTTTTTTCCTCACTAGTGAATACAGCGATTAACCACAACAGTATGAGAAACAACAACAAAGGCGTCAGAAATAAAACCACGGGCCAGCAATTTGCTTACTATACTATAAAACTAGTCACTTGCTTTATTACAATTGCTGTACAGTGAAACATTAAATGGAATATTAAAATTCATAAGCTATCTTTGAATATAATATATAATATTACATTTCAAAGCACACAGGTGGATTTCATAGAAACCTTTAAAATGTGATTTACAGTTTACTGCAAGACTAACAGTTAATCCATACATGGAAGGGAAGCTCTACATCAGAAAACATTTTTAGAGAAAAAAATAATGCTGCATAATTTCATACATCAGTCTCTCAATTACAAAAGAGCACAAAATAGGGTACTTGGTCATGCAGTAAATATTTTTTCAGCAAGCTTTAAAAGCTTCCAGTTGAAGCTTTCAAGCTGGCTTCACAATCTTTTTTTTGAGACACTCAATAGTATTTTCTATGCGTGTTAAAATGAAAATTATTTTCAGGTAGGCCTTGGCAATAACAAGAAACATTATCACCACACAAGACAGAGAAACATGCAAAATGGCAGCAACTGTTGCCTGAATACAGTATGTACAGAAGGGGAAGACACTTGCCTTATCTGTCACTGTATCTGGAGTTCATTTCAAAACCTCTCTTTGTTTCCTTAAACTAAGCAGGAAGTGAGATTTATTTTGGGGGAGAGCGCTTTTCTTTGGCCTGTCACATTCATTCCATAAATACTGAAAATGTACCCTAAAGACAGATGTTGTCCAGAAAGATTGATTTTATGTGTAAGATAGGTAAATATGGCTATGGGATTAAACACCATCTGATCAGCTTCCAAGTAAAACCAGAGCATAAAAAAGAATATGTTTACATTCACTGAGGAGTCACTGAAGGCTTCATTCATGATTACTACATACCTAAAAAGCACATGATGAACATTTATGTGTGCAGAACTCTGAGAGGCAAATGCAATGGAAATAAAGTATCTGTCCTTTTAACACAAGTTTTCTTGTGGTAAACAAAAAAAAAACACATTCATATTTGCCTACAATGGGCTTGGCCACACATTTTATTTGATTTTTTGCAAGAATACTATATGGTGTACTATACTGAAATGTGTAATTAATTATTACATATATTAATTTTGAACGATCTAAAAGTAGTATAATCCATTTGTTAATAATATTTATCACAATACAGGTGTAATACAGGTGAAGTATACACACACAATTGTAAGGAAAAAAAAACAAAATCAAGATCTATATATATAGTGCTTTTTTTAATCTAACCAGATTTACTCTGGGAAATAACATACATGAGGCTACTGTACTTTCTTAGTTAAATTACAGTATTAACATACATTGTAGTAAAGGCCTCCTACTGTAAGTAATTGATTATTCCCCATGTCATGTAACAAGTGCTCATGGTACTCCAAAAATTAGATTAGCATGAGGATGGTAGATTAAAGTATTTCTGTTTAATTGTAATTAGCTTCTATATCAAACCTATGGCTGTTAGACTCTGGTGACAGAATACAGTAGGGAATACTCTATGGAAATGAAATACTCTTTCAGAACGGAAGCTAGATCAGGCAAATCAAAAATTGTTATTGATCAGACACAGTGAATAGTGAAGTGAAGAGAAATTGGATGTCTGACCTAAAAGTCATCATGAAGGACATCAGAGGTCTCACTTGTGTGTCACCCAAGCTATCTGTAATTTATAGATAATTCCATGAACCAGAAGTTTAGCAGGAGAGCCACCAGCAAGCCAAAGGTCACATAAACCTGATTATAATAGTCGGCTGAAAATGTGATGTAATTAATTTATACTTCACTCAGGTGGTTACAAAGGCATACATGCCACAGGCATAGAAAACTAGTTTTAGTGAAAATGTAAACTGAAGAACTTTTAAACACTTTTAAAAGAAGGCAATTGTGAAGTTGAAAGAATAGGAAAAATCTATCATAAACATAGTACAGTAACCGGGCATACCAAATCAACTTAAGTATCTTGAGTTTGGAATACTCTGAAGAAGAAATAAACCACAGATACAATGACCAATCTGCCAAGACCAAGTCTACCAAAAAAAACATCTGAAGCTGATCATGGAAAAAATAGTTTTAAGAGCTGTCAAGGACAACCTTATAACAGCTGTCAGTGAAAACACCAACAAACTCCAGAGTGCAGGGATGAAGGTATCACAATCTCCAGTTTGCAGAACTTCAAACCTGATACCCTCAGCATCTTTTAAGAAATGGCTCAATAAAACCAAATAGCTACTAGAAAACCTATATGGGTCAAATTACCATCTCTGACTTGTAATTTTTTCTAAATCCTTATTTATAAGTGGTGCGGTCTATCTACACCTTGCTTGTTTCCTATGGGAAATCCTTGGTATGATGGCAGTTGAGTGAATACTTCAATCATTAAAATTTTTAACATGTAAAGTAGGAGACATGGTTTTGGTAGGTTTCATGTTTGGCACTGTGACTACCAGCATATATTAGAGCATTTCAGAGTAGTGACAGTAATGATGAGCTTTAGGGTACAGCCTTTGGCAGTACAATAATACACCATGTCACAAAAAGTAGCATTGGAATAGCATTGGAAATATATCATGGCCTGCTCATTCCAGATGTTAATCACACTGGACATCAATGAATGAACTTAATGAATAAGAAACATACTTCCTCTGTCACTGCATAGTATTGCTCCATCTAGGGAGTAGAAATTGTATCTTTTCTAGAAATACTGCTGCAATTAAAGGCAACTTAAGTACTTTTGATGAAACAATGTCATAAACAAGGCCATTTGTTTCTAGTACACAGTCATCATTTATCATGCTTACCAATGGAATACTTTCAAAACAGAAATAAAATTATTACTTTAGGTGAAACTATTCTCTAGGCCATCTCTAATACTAATATTTTGTGAATATTTGGAGCTTGCTTTGAATAGATAAAGAGCTGTAAAATGATTGCATGGGATATTTTCAATTTTTATTTTTTTATTATATTTTTCCATTTTAATGTATATTATTGCACATCTAATTAACAAAATGTATAAAGCTGTCTGAGCTGGTTTACTGCGAACTAAACTTAGGCATAGTTTGAGAGGAAAAGCTGATTCAAACAATTAGCCATCTGAATTTGTCTTCTGTTTTTTAAAAGTCACTACAAGGTTTCTACTGCCCCCTATTGAAACAAAATGAAAAATGAAGAATGGTATTTATCTATTGAGGATGGAGAAGTAACAATCTATTTAATAAATAATCTTAATGATGTTGCAAGATTATTGGAATTCACTTTTTTACTACAAATCTTTGATTCTATAAATGAAAAAAACACCAAGAATTAGTGATTTTCATCTGTTTGCTTATTTTCATTGCTTCTGTAAGTTCTGATGACTGAAGGATGTTTGAATGTTTTCTGTATGTTTTTTTATCCAGCACCCATTATGGTTTATCTACAAAGGTCAAAGCATTAACAAAGAAAATCATTTTACTGATTTTTTGTATATTTCCTGGGGAGTAGAAGAAAGAATGTAATTTTTCACATTGGATATTTCTGTATTTTATTTAGTAAGCAGTATTAGTCTATCGATTTGAAAAATAAATATATTTATATTATAAGGAAATACGTGACAATTAAGCCATATTAAACATACATGCCTTTTTGGAAAACAAAATACATCAAATACAAAATTACCATATCTATTATGCTTAATTGCAAACATTTTTATTATGTCCATGTATAATAGATTATATTATAATAAATAATAAACAATGTGGTATTAAAATGCACAATTTGTTATTAATTGCAATACTCTTCTCTTTTGTAACATTTGAAAGACTTTTTATTAAAAGCAGGAGATAACAAGAGCACTAAAAATGCTAAAGTAACTTTATCATTAACCCTATAGTAAACATTACTCTGGTTAGAAAAATGTTATTAAAAATACTAATGCATATTACCTCAAACGGCAGTTCCCAAAGGTTCAGGTTTGCAATTAATTCAAGTTTCTCCAAGTTCTCACATTCTCCAAGTTCAGGAGGAATACTAGACAGCTTATTATAACTCAGATTCAGTTCCTTAAGGTAAATGAGTTTCCCTATTATAAAGAAAAAGATGAAAGTTATGGAAGGAAATCAAAATGTATTAAAGTCAGAGCTTTTTAAAAAAAATGAACACCATCATGAAAGTAAAAGCAAAAAAGACCCTTTTTTTCTTAAATCCATTAAGCACTAAGCCATTAGCCACTTTTTTTTTGCAAGATTCAGAACTAAATAGCACTGCAATATGATAATTATTAAATATTAGTTTACAGTTGAGACTTTTTATTTTATGTAAAACCTAAGGCTTAGGAAAAATAATACTCCTTTATTGTCAAAGAAAAGCAAAGAAACTTTCATTTTAAAACAATCCCTTGTTATCTAATATAACTCTACAGTATATGGACATTCTAACATCAAATCACTGCCTAAATGCCTTCATCTAAAGTAAAGTCAGGCTAAACCTCAATGTTCCACCGAGGATTCTTACAATATGAAAGCAAACTCTGATATAATTAAATTGAACAGAAATAACATAAAGAACATCTCATTGCTTCCTTTCAATGCTCAGTACCAGGATGTGCCTGATTGTTTATGAAATATAGCACATTATTTTCTGGTTGTTAAACGTAGCAAGGCCACTGTGCTTCCTCCTGTCTCAGAGTGCTCCTTCATTAGCTGCCACTGCCAACAGCTGCCATTCTGGGTTTCTATTCTCAAGTGAAGGAGAAAATTAGCAATGGGGGCCATGCCTGTAAGATGAGTTGAAATTTGTGAAATATAAAATTACTAAAAGAGAGCGTTGTCAAAACAAACTAATTTAAGTTGACAGCTGAAATTCAGAAGGAGAAATAGGCTTTTTATGGTAATCCTTTCAGTAAACAAGGTTTGATTTTGTGCAAAATCCTTCAAGCAATTAGCCCTCCAAAGAGAAGAGAATGATGTGCATTGTATTGAAAGGACAAAGAACACGAGGATGGTTATAAATGAGATGAAGTTCATTAGGCCAGTTTTACTCTCAAATATTTGCCAGTAAAATACTCGCTTACTTGGAGGCTGTTTTGTGAAAATGTAATATAAAAATTACTAATAAAAATAAATACATTTTAATATATTTGACTATGACAGTATCCAAGTAGAAAGTTTTGAATTTGGATCACACATAATTAAACTGGTATGGTGGTTAGCAGTTCCTGGCTTTTGGGGAATATGGACAAGAATAAAACAGAGTATATCTGTTTATATCTACCTTCATAACTATGAATAATATTTTTTTGTGTACAACTTGGACTGTAGTAGTAATATAAATGTATATTTTTAACATTATATAATAAGGTTAGCATTTAGTTATATATGAGATTTGTATGTATATATTACTATATAATATATACCATTACATATTATATTACTTTTTTTTCCATTTGATTAATGAAGTTTGTAACAGAAATTTGTCAGGAAGGTTAGATCCTAATCTTGCCCATTTCCTCTCACCTATATATATAAGTCTTGCACCCAGGGCTTCGTTTACGTACCTCTCTTGCATCCCTCCCGCCACCCCATCTGCATCCATGCAGCAACTTCCTGGCTCAGTCCTCACAATAGACAGGGGTGTTTGGGCTGCCTTTTCTCACGGTTAAGCTGCCATTACCTCAGCTATGCAAATCACACTAAATACTCTCTATATACAGTATTTCACCCCTCTATCACATTCATTAGGAACAAACCTAAAGTACTGAGTTTAATGTTATTTTATTTATAGTTTAGATTAAAGCAAGCACACAATTACCAATTTCAGCCGGGAGTTCTGTGATGCAATTTCTGGGCAGTTCCAGTACTCTCAAATCTTGAAAATGTTCGATATACACTGGAATTTCATGTATGCTGGTTCTTGTTATTCGCCATACTCGGAGGTCAGTCATTTCTATTAATGATTCAGGGAACTCCTAAATTGTTAAAATAATAAATAACATGTTAATTAGTTACAGTCATAGATGTTAAAGTACTGAAAAGGAAATATACACAAAAATGCTTATTTATTTTAATAATAGCACATTTCCAAGGATTATGTATGTTTTAACTATAGTAGGTAGAAATCCTGTACACAATGATAAGTTATTACTTTCCTTCATAAATTATGAAAAATAGTCTGATAAATGTGAAACAAATTCTTTGGTTACATTTACATAAAATACAAGGATATTCTTCATTTCGCAACTGAATTTTATTAAATAAACTTTCACCTACTAAATGCCACAGATTTTAAATTAAACAGCAATAATTAAACAATCATTCTAGTCACAGTAAAATTAATTGAAGATTAACTTTAATCAATTATATCTTCTTAACATCTCTGCTTTCCTAAAATTAAGCTCCACAATAATACAGTTACTTAATAACATTTTAACAAGAATAACACCTTCCCAACCCAAATATTTTTTTTGCTTTTCCTGCAACATATGCTGTATGCTCACAAATTTCAAATTTGTCAAAAGCATATCTAAAATAAAAAAAGAAAATACCTTCCAGTATTCTCCACTTAGCTCAAAAATAAGTAGTTTTTCCTCAAAATCACTCTCAGTTCCTGAGTCTGCTGATATGCGCTCATATGACAGTGGTTTTTTTTCTTGTTCCTGATAGAGCTGAAAGTCTGAAAACTCATTTGCCATGCCTCTCTGAGCTGATAGTTGAAGGGCTCTCTTCTTGCATTCAAGTCGATATTGCCATTGTTGATTCAACCTGGGAACAGACACTGTTTCTATGGGTTACTGAGTTCTGGGTTCTCCAACATTCTTATCAATTCAAGAGGACAAAACATATATACTGTTCATATATATATATATTTATTTATTTATCTTAAATTGTGAGCAATTCCTGGATTCACTCCTTTCAAAAATAGATTTGTAACATTTATTTAAGTTAAGAAATCATATTTTAATATAATATGCATTATTTTACACAACATACAAGTACAGTATCTGGAACAGTTAGATTTTTCACCATTGTTCACAACTTGTGCAATGTAATTGCTGTTTGCCATCCTCAGAAGCAAGACAACATTCTCATTATAACCACAACAGAAACAGATACTATTGCAAAGGATTCCAAGATTTACCGTACATTTATCTTTCCATATGGCCTTAAATATCAAACCTCATTTGGAACCAGGTGTTATGAAAATTAAGGTCATGCACTTTACACTTAAAACCAAAATGCATGCCAAATCATATTGATTGTGAACAAAAATAAATAATTTTAGATTTTCTCTTTTGCAGTATACCAGTGGAAATAAAAGTAAGTTGACAAAAAAAAAGATTTTATTTTAAGAAAAGATTCATGCTCAATAATCCCTGCTGAATTGCTCTGAATGCCAGGGTCACATAAAACAATACAGATGATATTGATTTTTTATCATTTGTTGAGCTGCAGCATTTTGTGGTAGCTCTCTCACAACTACTGCTTTACTTTACACATTTACAGTTGATAAATATGTATTAACTTTATTCAGGATATACTTTCTCACAGCTCTTTATCTGTATCCTATTTCTCAGTTTGGTTCAGTTGGACTTTCAAAACCCTAAGACCCTTTTGACATGGGCTTCAACGTGCTTCATTTGCAAGTATTTTACTGGATCACTGAAAGCCCTAGACTGCCTGACTTTTAGCATCCACAAACTCTTTGTGTGCCCTTCTGTTAATTTCTGACTGTAAGTGTTCAAAAATTCATTTCAGCATGGAATTCAGAAGACAGCACTTCTTCTGAGTAAAGGGTCAACTTTCAACCCCTGTCTTTGATCATTGGTTTGGAAATTCTGGAAATTTGGAAAATTGCAACTTCTACAGATCTACCATTGATTTCAAGCAGCAGTCTGGTTTTCTTATGACATCTAATGTTTTGATTCAATCAATTATGACTGAAATCATAAATATAAGAGTGGTAGAACTATTTGCATTAAAATTAATATAAGCTTAAACTGAAAAATATTATTCTACATTCATGGAAATGGCAATAAACACATTAAATTATCCAGGTTTTCATTGGATTGCACTTTGTGAAATATATGTTTGTGATATGAATGAATGTGTCACGTTCCTAGACCCCTTCCTTGTTTTCCACTCATCACCCGCACCTGCTCCCTGTTTGAACCCCCTTTCAGTTCTCCTTAAAAGCCAGGCGCTCACTTTATTCGGGGCTCTGCATTGATTCCCGTATCGTGCGAGCCCAGGACCTGTAATCGCTTAGCTCCATTATCTTTTTAAGTTTCTGCTCCTGTTCCTGTTCCCCCTGCCGGTTCCGACCCAGTTCCCATTTTTGACCGTCAGTCTCGGATGGACCGCCCAGCTTTGGACCTTTTGCTTTTCCTGGATTTTGCATTGGACTCTGTTTTGGATCATTTGTCTTGGACACACCTCCCCCGACCACCAGCACTTCATGGACACGCCCTCCTGTTTTGTTGCCTGCTTCCTGCATGCATTTTTTCCCTTGTGTATTCTCACTCGACCCTGGATTATGTCGTCCGCATAGGGTCCGGAAAGAACTGTTCGTTACAGAATGAATAACTTGTTCTCATTTACTTAATATTGAAAATAAAACATCAAAATGTGTTCTTATGCTTTCATGAGTAACAGAGTAACAGGAAATCCCTCTGTTTTAAAATTGTGTTGGTAGAAAGCAAAATAGAAGAAAGGCAACAGCAGATTGGTAGGCACTTTGCCAACTTATCACTAGTTTCTTAGATGAAAAGCTAGCTGAAGAAGGATGCATGTTTTGGATATACATCATCTAATCAGTATTAGATGTTTTAGGACCCTTAACAGATAATGCACATGTCAAAATTGCTTTAAGTATGCTGGTGCAATTTACTACTACATTAAGTTTGTCAAAACACTCATCTGAAATCAATTACTTTTTAAGGTTCAGAAGATGGGTGAAGCAAAGCTTTGACCAAACATAAAACAAAGACTGTCAGGGCTCTTACTGTGCTAGTGCACTTTTTTCCAAGCGCTCCTGTTCTTTCTTCTGTCGCTGCTTGTATTTCCTCACTCTGCATTCCCATAATTCCCGTATTAGTGCAAGGTCATACACAACTATTGCTGAACCCATATCCACACTCAGTATTTCTATTCCTGTAAAACAGTATAAAGTGACATTCATACAGTATAAAGTGACATTATACATTTATATGTTCATATGTACAAAATTTTTTATTACTCAAGTTAATAGTTTTAGATTTCATCTTAAACACTCTAGTCTAGTTGCACCAAGTTGGATTATAAATTCACCAACAATGATAAAAAGGTATTATTATTATATCCAATCCATAATTAAAATGATAATATTCCATAAGAAATGGACATAACGTATTACAGATAAAAGACAAAGATGTTTCTTGCTCATAAATAGATGCTATTCATAAGAGATTTTAGTTTTAGTGTAAGTCATTACTTACACTAATGACTTACATTTAGTCATTACTAAAATGTTAAAATAGATTGTCTATAATTGGACATTTCATAGTATATGAAAACAGTGTAAGAAAAAAGTTAAAAATTAATAATTATATACAGTATTTAACATATAGTATATACAGTATACACACACAGTTGGCTTTAAGGAAAGGCAACATTGGCAGCTTCTTAGGGTACCAAACAATGGGGATACAATTTTTATTTAATACTTTTAATGATAAAAATCCATGTGTAAATACATGAAATCACTCTGACAGCATTATATTTATACAATATATCTTTGTACTACTATCCACATGAGGTAGTATGATATCTTACCATTCTTTGCTACATTCTTAAACTTGCTAGTATTGTAAAACATTAAAGCATATACAGTACGCATAGAAATATCCAGAAGTGAAAAGATGAAATTTGCTACTTTTGCTTCATTTTCATCTTTTCATCCCAAATCAGAATTGCTTGAGTCTACAACATAACAATAGCAATTCTGACTTCACTGTCACTATACTTATGAAGGGCACTGTACATACACTCACCCAGACAATGGATCTGTGGAGTTTTGCTGTTGCAGCTCCTCCAAGAGGCAGTTCACACCTACACACACACACATTCAGACTCAGTCTGGTCTTTTGCACTTCTTGTATCTTTCCTTTTAAAGTTTTCTTACATTGTCCATTGACTCTACCACATCCTTCCTCAAGCCCTAATTTTGCTCATACAGTTGTACAGTGATTACAATAAGGAAAGCATTCATGCCACACATACAGTAGCAAACAAAAATAATTTACCAGAGCAGGATCAAGACACCTTTGACGTGGACGCATGTCTAACAAAATAAGGACTATGTAGACTAAATATGGTGCAATTCAATAAACTATCTCTGGAACTTTTTGTTTTTATGGATTACTTTTATTTTGTGAAACACTCTCATGAAATTATCAATTCCATCCACTTAACACAGAATTCATCATCTCAACCAGCAAGCTCGGGGCCTCCTTTCAAGATGTATTTATTGTTTATTCCTACCTTCAGTAGATTTGTCAAGGTTAATAATGTCTTACATGATAGTTCACAACATTATGCTAAATAAAGGGCAGGTGACACAACAGCAATTTTAAGATTTACACAAAAGCAATTTTAAGATTAAGGATGACAATGGAATCACCAGTTGATATTGTCTCAATCTCAATATAACAGTCATAAGAGTCTAAGTTTTAAGGTTTAAGAGTATTTTATCTACCTTTATTGGTTTTATTGTTAGCTGTGGTGACACTTTGAAATAACAACATGGATTAGAAAATGGTTGATAATTATTGTATGATAAGGATGAGAGGATATAAAGTTTGCAACTGACAATTTAGGGATAGGCTTTACTTGCCACATTAGTTAGTGATTCTTGTTGCAATTTCAGCATTGGTTATGAAATAACACCTTTTTGCCTGACTGCAAAATAAAAAGGTTTTCTTTCTCAACGTTATAAAAATAACAAGGAATACATAATTTAACATTCCTTAATTATCAACAAAAAACTGAACTTTGTTGTCTATTTAATCTGAACCTCCCACAGTGTAAAGTGTTTTCTTTTTTAGTTTCAAATAAAATTCTAGTATGCTTTTCCACTCCTTTATAATTGGATTTTTTTGTCTGTAAATGTTATGGTCACCGTGAACACATCATTTAAAGAATGATTTCTTCAAGGTCTGTTTTTATTAGGTAATAAAGTCTCTAATTTATGAAACTGCCAAGATTTTGAGAGGAGCTTGCTTGACTAAGCATCTTTCGTCGTGCACAATTTGTTCATAAAACAAAATTTGAAGAAGCCTTTTCTTTATTTTGTTTCTTTCACAAGGCTCATGGTACTAAATTAAGCAATTATTTGGTTCATATTTGTAAACAGGTAGCAAATTAACATGGTTTAAAAGTATTACTGCCAGTTCCTAACTATTTTTAAGATGTGATGATCATAAGATCATACTTATTGTGTTGCAAACAATAGTACACAATCATTCAAAACAGTAGAATAAACTAAATTGTTCTGAACATGATACAGAAAACAATTGAATCAAATTAAGACATTGATCAATTAATTTAAAATACATTTAAGCAAATAATTCTATGTATAAACTTAAATAAAAAGCTAATAGCAAAGCATATAAAGAGCTAAAATCAGTGAGATATGTTATCTTTAGAAAGCAGATGGGATTCTGGTTTCAAAAACAGAAAAAATATAATAGATTCTACCTACCTAATATTGTATTTGCTTGACGTTTCTCTTTTCAGACTTCCCAGAAGTTCAGCAAGTTGTTTACAATGTCATGGATCAAGTTTAACCCCATGAGTCAACCTTATTCAAATTCCCAGTATGACCAGAGTCTGAGATATTTTAATGTTCTATTTTTATAAACTAGTGATATGACTCCTGCCATAGTAGTAGGCAGTGTGACATAAATGGCATCTGAAATATGTATGCAGCACTGGGCAGCTTGCAGTGTGTACACGTCCATTTTATATGTCATATCAGTTAAGCAACCATTTTTAAATCAGACCATTGTTTGGTAGAGTGTTTCCAAAGATAGCTTTGAATATAATATGTAAATGTGTTAACTAATGTTTTGTGTTGCATTTTACAACAAATTTAAATAAAACTGTCTTTTGTATTTTTGCTCTGACTTGTTCAAGAAAAAATGCTTTAGTGTTTTTATAAACCTATCATTTTCCTATTCAATGCACTTTTAAAATATATGTGAATGTTATCCCAAGTGGGATGGCATGAGGGTAGAAGTGGCTAGCTCACAGTCCTGGGGCCCTAGATTTAACTGTAAGGGTGCTATATGCATTGAGTCTGCATGTTTTCTCCATGTTAGTGTGGGTTTCCTCCAGATGCTCCTATTTCCTCCTATAGTCCAAAGACATATCATTAGAGTAACTGGCATCTGGGAAAACTGTGTGCGTGATAGGCTTCGGCTCCCCTGTGACCCTGTATCAGATGAAGTAGTTAAAAAATGGATGGACATCAGATTTTTAGTTTAAATGGGGAATCTTTTATTCTTTTATTAAAAATGAAGACAACTTTAAAAAGATCATTTCATGTATAATGAAATTGTAGAAATAAAATATTTTATTCATACTGAAATTTAAAAATGAAATAATCAGAAATTTCGTATCGCTTTGAAATATTAAACCCAAGAAGCCCAATCCACTGTTTTCTTTCTAGTCCTAAACTAGAAGTTTAGCGGATATTCTAATTTTAAAGTTTACAGTCTTTGCTTGTGTTAAATAATAAGGCACTTGAGTATAAGTACTATATAATTATTGCTATAGATGTAGTTATTATGTACACATCAGAAATATTCAGGATTACAGAAGAATGGTGAAACAAGAAAAATGTTTTTAAGATTATCTGCCTTGCATGCTTTATTAACTTTCAAAATATGCTCTGTTACAGAACACATTTACCTAAATATTCTAGGGTACATGAGGTAACTTTTAATCAGATAATGTTTGATCTAGTATTTATTTAGATATATTTTGATAATGTATGCATTCTCTATAATCAATCCTATGTATAATGTTTCCACTGAGGTGCTATGGGTATCCATTTAGTTAGCATGTCCTTGATGTATGGATGGGTTTCAAAATAAGATTGTATGTGTACATTTATTAGCGGTCTGGACATGTTGTTGGTGTCAGGGGCTCAATGTGAGTAAAGCTAGTAGCATGGTTTGTCAGCCAACATCGACTAGATGTCACTGAGAGTCAGTGTTTTCAGCCTTCAATAGCCTGCAGCTTCCTACTAAACTGATACAGTGTGCAGACAAGAATATTTCTGAACTAGAAATGTTCTGCAAAGAAGAATGGGAAAAAATTCTAAATATAGAATATAAAGACTGTTAGCTGGCTACAAGAAACATTTGGAGGCTCTGATTTCTGCCAAAGGATGTGTTACTAAGTACTGACTGATACTTAGTACACTTAGCAAACTTTTGGACATGTCACATTTACTCTTTTATTTTTTTTCAAGCTGTTAAATTCAGCAAATAAATAGTAACTGTACATTAAAATTTGCAGAAATATGTAAAGTTTAATTTTGTTCGCTGCAGAGGTTGTGTTAACTTCTCTTCACTTAGAAAATCAACAAAACATGTAATTTGGCCAATGGTGCCCAAACTTTTGCTTACAAATGTACTTTATAGAGTACATTCATTATAAGAATGCCCACTATGTGAAAGGTCTGGTAAATTTACTTCTGCCTTTTCCCATTTCAATAAAATTATTTCAGTAGAAGGACAGTAAGTTTTTGTTGTTTTTCTTTCCATAATACTTCGGGTTGTTGTGGGTTCAGTTTTTAAGTTGATCTTTTTTTAATTTGCTTTTTTTTCAGATCTTTTTAAACCTTATGAGTGAAAGTGCTCCAAAAGCCCTGTGTAAAACGCAGCCCAGACATAACTGACATTATGCCCACAATCAGTGAGTACCAGCCTCTGCCTGGAGATGGAACCTCAGACAGTCAGTCAATGGATGCAATCTGCCTTTAGCAGATGAGGAACACTTCTAGAGTGAAGTCTGTAACTGCAGTATCTGTCTGCTTCACTTGTCCAAGGTTATAAATAGCAAACCCTTTGCTTCTTGTTGATAAATCATCCCCACCTGATAACTTTGACTCCAGGACCTCCCAGTCCTACTCTCAAAGGTGCCTGGGTTAAAGATGAGCAAATAAAAGACATAATAAGGTTTAATTGAGTGTGTGTATAAGGGCATGTCTGAGCCATTAGAGTGCCACAATGGAACAAACAAATTAGACGTGAAACTATACAGTATGTCCTATTTTCATAAAAAAAGAAAATTGATTTTATTGTGAAATTGGACTTGATGTTTCTTGGAAAGTGCAGTCTCAACCACATAAGTATTTTACCCTCTCCCTTTTTCTGTTTCTGCTTTCTATCAGTTTCCTCCTTTTTCCTGAATCTATCCAGCTCCACTCATATTTATATTTACAGTACTCACCCTTTACCTTTTCCTATAACCTCCAGCACTTTTCTCTGTCAGTTTCATTATTTGTCTGCCTTTCCTGAGCACCTTCTTTCCTATCTAAATCCCTCTTCTATCTTACCATCTTAACCTTAAATGTTTCTATATGTCTCTCAAATCATCCTTTGATTATCTAACTCTGTAAATCTTTCCATCCAGGACTCCATGTGTCAGTACTGAGAACTAAGCTTCATAATGAATGGTGAGATCTCCTTTTTTGATAAAACAAATGTGTTGCCTTGTTCTACCAAGAACAACTGAAATAAAAAATAAAAATAGGTTATGGTGTATGTGGGTTTTAAAAAATTCTATTAGAAATTAGGTTTTTCTATAAAAGGGCCTCTATGATTTATAATAATAATTGCTTACACTTACATAGTGCTTTTCTGGACACTCCACTCAAAGTGCTTTAAAGGTAATGGGGACTCCCTCCACCACCACCACCAATGTGCAACATCCACCTGGATGATGCGACGGCAGCCATAGTGCACCAGAACGCTCACCACACATCAGTTATCAGTGTGGAGGAGAGCAGAATAATGGAGCCAGGTCATAGATAGGGATTATTAGGAGGCCATGATTGGTAAGGGCCAATGGGAAATTTGGCCAGGACACCGGGGTTACACGAGAAATGCCCTGGGAATTTTAATGACCACAGAGAGTCAGGACCTCGGTTTTACGTCTCATCCGAAGGACGGCGCCTGCTATTAGTGGGGAGAACAGAGTAATGAAGCCAATTCATAGATGGGGATTATTATGAGGTCATGATTGGTAAGGGCCAAATAGGAAATTTGGCCAGGGCACCGAGTTACACCCCTACTCTTTTCGAGAAACATCCTGGGATTTTTAATGACCACAGAGAGTCATGACCTTGGTTTTACGTTACATTCGAAGGACAGTGCCTTATTACAGTATAGTGCCCACGTCACTGTACTAGGGCATTAGGACCCACACAGACTGCAGGGCGAGCGCCCCCTGCTGGCCCTCCGAACACCTCTTCCAGGAGGTCTCCCATACAGGGCAAGGCTCACACCTGCTTAACTTCAGTGGGTCACCAGTTGTGGATTGCAGGGTGATATGGCTGCTGACCAATCATTGTTAAATGGGCTCACTAAGTGTCACTAAGTGTAATTAAATTATTGGATAAACGAAAAGTGCATATAAGTGCTAAGTGTCACATGGTTCACAGGTTCATTTGAGTTGCGTAGAGGTCCCACATGGAGCTAGTGGTTGTTAAATTGAAAAAAAAAAAGATTTTTGGTTGGAATGGTTTGAAAACCATTGAATTTTTTTATCTACAGATCCCTGAGATCACTCTAGTGAAGGGTGGGTCAGTTACACAATATTTATTTCTGTTTCTAGATTGGTGTTCTGTTCATGTTGTTAATGAAAAGCCTCAGTGATTTCTGCATTTAATGGAACAGTAAATCCACCCCAGAGCTTCAAAACACCAATCACTATATCAACTTAGGTGCCAATTTAAAGACAATCCCAAATGTATCATGTATGAAATGTTATAGAAATTGATTGTATTTGAAATATTTTATTTAATATGGAATTATTGTTTTAATTTATATTTCATTATGTGTTAATGCATTAAAGTATTATTTGAATGGGTCTTATGACTTAAAGTGAGTAAGACTTTCTTTCTGCTTTTGTGAATGTTTACACAACAGAAATTTATCTAATTTATTCAGGATTAGTCTGCTCCGCTGCAGCTCGGCAATTATGGAAAAACATCTACAGACAGCCATGCACAAATTAAGTGGATAGGGAGCAGAGACCATGCACTACTACAGAACTAAGTCACACAGAGACAAAGGTTAAGGGGGAAAGCAGTTAATAACCTTCCAGACCTGATAACTTATAGCTGTGTTGGACAGACACTAGAGCTGAAGTTACAGCCAGCTATAGTGTAATGAGAGCAAATAGGAATGACTGGTGTGTCATAGAAGCCATTGGCTTCTTGAACTTGCTCCACGTTCCCTGATTACCTATCATGTTAAATTAATATATTTCTCTTTTCTCCTGAAAAGTCAATATACAGTGAATGCTGGTTACTATGTGTTTGGAACTATATAATCCTGAGTAACCTTTTATTTTTTTTGAACTCCTGTGAAAGCTTTAAACTGGAGACTAAAGAAATCATTCCACTTACTCTTATTACTCTCTTTTTATCATTTATTAAGCTTGTGTAAGGATCTGCATTCTGCTATTTTAGGTTTCGGGACTGATCAATAGTACCACCCAACCTAATACTTTCCTTCAGGCTTCAGTCTTTCCTCCATTCTATCAGAAATAAATTAATATTCTTTAGAAACAACTTTTGGCTTTGACACTTAGTCCTTACCTTCTAAATATATATTCTGTTGTCAGACATAATCA